TGGATGGATGGGTGGATGGGTGGATGGATGGGTGGGTCATTGGGTGGGTGGAATCCCGGCCGGATGCAGCAATGATGGGTGGGTCATTGGGTGGGTGGATGGGTGGGTGGTGGGTCATTGGGTGGGTGGGTCATTGGTGGGTTATTGGATGGATGGATGGATGGATGGATGGGTGGGTGGATGGGTGGATGGGTGGATGGATGGGTGGATGGGTGGATGGGTGGATGGGTGGATGGATGGGTGGATGGATGGATGGATGGATGGATGGGTCACTCTATGGATGGATAGATGATGGATGGATGGATGGATGGAATGGGTGGAGGAGTCATTGAGTGGATGGATGGATCCTTGGATGGATTGACGGATCACTCTATGGATGGATGGATGGGTGGGTGGTGGATGGATGGATGACTCTATGGATGGATGGATGGATGGATGGATGGACGGATGGATCACTCTATGGATGGATGGATGGATGGATGGATGGACGGATGGATGGATGGATGGATGGATGGATCACTCTATGGAAGGATGGATGGATGGATGGATGGACAGATGACTCTATGGATGGATGGATGGATGGATGGACGGATGGATCACTCTATGGATGGATGGATGGATGACTCTATGGATGGATGGATGGATGGATGGATGGATGACTCTATGGACGGATGGATGGATGGATGGATGACTCTATGGATGAATGGATGGATCACTCTATGGAAAGATGGGTGGTGGATGGATGGATGGATGGATGAGATGGATGGATGGACGGATCACTCTATGGATGGATGGATGGATGGACGGATGGATGGATGGATGGATGGATGACTCTATGGACGGATGGATGGATGGATGGATGGATGACTCTATGGAAGGATGGACGGATGGATGGATGGATCACTCTATGGATGGATGGATGGATGGATGAGATGGACGGATGGGTGGTGATGGGTGCTGAGGTGCAGACCCCGCCCCGCAGGGACCCCAACCAGCCGGTGCCGCAGGACACCAAGTTCCTGCACACCAAGCCCAACCGCTTCGAGGAGGTGGTGTGGGGCCGCTAGGAGATGGAGGGAGGGATGGAGGGATCACTCTATGGATGGAGGGATGGATGGTTCGGATGGATGGATGAGTCATTGCATGGGTGGATGGATCCTTGGATGGATGGATGGATG